CCCACAAGAAGATCACGGTGGACGGCTGGGACAGGGAGGATGAAGAAGAGGTGAGGAGCCACCCTACATCTCGGCGCCAGCTGGAACGATTGCACCTAACCTTCAGGACGACGCTCCTGATGTGCACGGCAGCACTGCCGCAGTTTGGCAACCTGAGGGTCACCAAGGAGGAGCTGGATGACTGGTATGCCTGGTTTTATGGGGAGGACATAGCCGGCAGGAAGCCTCCCCCGATCGACACCACCTTGCTGTTTGCGGAGCGCAATGCATGGCGCAAGATTCACGAGATGGTGCACCAGGGCACCACTCTCTCCGAAGCCCTCAAGAACAAACGGGAGGTCTATGAGCACCTCAACAGGGCGCCGACGACGAAGGGGAAGAGCAAGAGCAAGGCACCCAAGGTGTGGCAGACTCAGTGGGAGAAGCCCAAGAAGGGGGGAAAAGGATCCTGGCCCCCCACCAGAGCCACAGCAGAGGGCAGACAGAGTTGGGGAGGCCAGGACGGCCGCAGGTGGGAGGGGATTTCTCCAGGGTGCCACCGGCCCCGGAAGCCCCTCCACCGAAGAAAAGGAGTGGACCCAGTCAGGGCACTCCAGAAGGGCGGAAGCACCCGTTTCCCCCGCACCCACCGAGGCAGTGGGATGAACCCCCAGAGAGACCCAGCGGTGAGGATCCGCCCGGCAAGGGGCGTTCCAAGGGCGGGCAGAACCGTCAGGGCAAGCAGCAAGCCCAGGGCCAGCCGACCAGAGGGTCGGACAAAGGACACACGGAAACCTAAGGGGGGACAAGCCCCACCTTCCCCTGGATGCAAGACACCCCGGAAAGACTGAGGCTGAGACTAAGGTGGACGCCACGTCCGGTGCCGGTCGTCGAAGCCGACCCTCATCCTGCTGTACGCGGGGAAGGATGATGCGGGGGCCCTGGATGCCTACCTCCATGCCTACAACCCGGCCTTCTCGGAGTACATTTGGGCAGTGGACATTTAGGAGAAAGGGTGGCGATCTTGGACAGGACATGCTGGGAGACGAGCCGTACTCTACAATGTGCTCCATGGCCATGGCGGGCAAGGTCGCCTTTGTGGGGGGCGGCCCCAACTGCAGGACGTGGAGCATTCTCAGATGGTTCCCCAAACCGGGAGGCCCGCCGCCGGTGAGGGGCCTGTGGGGCTTGGAGGACCTGGAGCCCCGGGTAATGGAGGACACGGACAACGACAGCGTGCTCATGCTCCGACAGATGTACCTGACCTCGCTGGCCTACCAAGGACTAGGTCAACTAACGGTCCCGCAGGTGGGCTCCTCATTCCTGGAGCACCCAATGGACCCAATGGAGCCCGAGCGCAGCGAGGTGCTCTTCGATCTGGGTCACACGGGCCTACATTCAATGGGCAAGCGCACTCCGCCACTCCCTCATCAAGTTTGACGAGTGCCGCCTGGGCCAGGTGGTAGTGAAGTCCACGACATTGTCAACGGACCTTCCCCTTCACCATTGGCATGATCTGCGATGCAACCATGGAGCTCACCCCAAAAGGGAAAAGCTCAACTCCAGTGACCTCAGCCGGTACCCAGAGCAGATGATGCAGGGCCTCGCGGCGGCCATCCTCTGCAGAGCGGGACCAGTCCTGGAGGCGCTGAAGCCGGGGGCACGGTGCCCCAAGTGAACCCAACGACCCCCCCGAGGCGGCAAAGGGAACCATCTCCTAGCACGCCGGGGGACAACAAGCGCCAGTCCCTGAGGCTAAAGGCCGGCCAACAAGCGTTGGCAGGACTAACCCTGGGCTCACTTCCGGTCTCGGCCTCAGACAATCCTGCGGTCCGGACACCAACACAGCCGGCTGGCAGGACGGCCGAACTTCGGGGTGAAACTCTTCCCCTTCAGCCATGGGCGCGCCATTGCATGGAGATCTCGGATCGGCCCACCACCCTGCCGATCACGCACGACCCAAATCTCTCCGACGAGGTTATGTACCTCCAGATGGCCTTCAAACAGCGCCCCCTCAGGGACGGGGGTGGGAAGCCCTCACTTGGACGGCTGGCCCCGTGGACGAGGCCACTGTCCAAAGCAGCAGCGTTGGGGGCCAAGATCTGTGTCCTCACGTCGCCATGGGGGGACAAACTCCAGGAGTCGCTCTCGTTGGGGGACGGGTCACACCCCTTCCCGGAGGATCTGCTGGAGGACATCGGCGCCAGGGGCAGGACGACCAGCGGAAGGCCAACCCTTCTTCCTGGACATCTTGCACAGCCTGGCGCTGAACATTCAGGACCCCGACCACCAGTTTCCTCGGGATCTGGAACAAGGGGTCCCACTGGGGGTCACGGACCCACCCCTAGCTTCGCCGGGCATCTGGCCACTCAAGAAGGAGCTAAAAGGGGAGGAGCCGGAGTTCCAGGAACTCCCTCATCCCACGGGCCGGGGTAACTACCCCTCAGCGGATCACTTCAGCGAGCTCATCCGTAGCACATTCCTGGAGGAGGTCCCCATGGGCATGGTAGATGGCCCTCTCACCAAGGTAGAGGCAGCAGCGCGCTGTGGCTGCAATATGGAGGATCTTTGTCCAGGCCCCCTAGCGGGCATCGACGAGGGGACAAGATCCGCACCATCTACGATGGCTCGGTGGGCGGGGCCAATGACACCATCAGGAACCAGACGGTGGAAAGGACGACGGCTCCGACGGTGCTGGATGGGGTACAAGCTCTTCATTGGCTACATGCGGCAGCTGAGGAGGGACCTCCCTCTCAGGGTGCCCCGGCCCCGAGAAGGAGGTCGCCAAACCTCCACCCGAGGGCTGGCTATGGCCGGAGCCGGGCACCAGGTGGGTGCTGCTCAAGGCGGACGTCACCAAGGCCCACCGGAGAGTGAAGGTCCTCAGGAAGGACTGGCGGTTCCAGGTGGCTTCACTGGGGGAAGAATGGTGGGTGAACAAGGTAGGCACATACGGCATGGCCAGTGCCCAATCCTACTGGGGACGCCTGGCAGCCCTTCTACTCAGGGTCCTCTACGCACTTTTCCCTCAAGTGGATTGGAACTTCGTCTTTGTGGATGACTTCCTGTGGCTGCTTCGTAGCGAGGGGGCAGTAAACTTGGCGGTGGCGCTGTTGGCAACACTCCTGGCCTTGGGCACCCCGCTTAGCTGGAAGAAGACACATTTGGCGGAGGTCAACACGTGGCTGGGCTTCGTGGTCCACCCGAACATCCCGCAGGTTCTCATGGCCGCCAACAAACACATCCTGGTGATGGAGGTCCTGCAGACCATGGTGGAAGGGCAGGCGATGCACTCAAAGGACATCGAGAAGGCCCTGGGCCGCATCCAATGGGCAACTGCTGCATGTCCGCTGGCGAAGTCGATGCTTCAACCATTGTGGGCCTGGAAGATGGCCACCACCACGGTGGGGAAACCCCCCAAGGTGGTCAGGATGCTGGCGTTCATGCTGCGGTTCCTCTTCAACACGCCCTTCGTCCAGTACTCCCCTTACCTGCCGAAGTCCTCTTGGTGGGGTTGCAGCGATGCTAGCGCCTCGGACGAAGGACTGGCATTTGTGGGAGGATGGTGCTCCAACAAAACGGAGCCGGAAAAGAAGGAGGTGTACTGGTTCCACGAACAGATCCACGTGGAGGAGTACCCTTGGGCATTCAAGAATGGGGATCCCAAGCGGAGGATTGCGGCTTTGGAAATGCTGGGCACGCTCTTCCTCTGTAACATGATCCTCACGCACCAAGGCCCTCTGTCCTCCCGGGTCCGACTCCCGGTGGGCAGTGACAACCAGGGCAACGTCATGGCGATGCTCAACCTTGGATCCAAGAAGCCCTATACCGCGGCTATCCTGATGGAGCTGGTCTTCCTGCTCCACACCCATGGCTGCTCGCTGGCGGCCAACCACGTGCCCCGGGAATTCAACCAGTGGGCCGATGAGCTGACGCACCCAGATTTCTCTGGGTTCGACCCTTTGCACAGGGTCCCTAAACAGGAACTCTGCGAGGAGTTCGTTTTTCTCCCGCGTCTCCTGAATGGAGATGCATTTGATCTAGCGTGGGCCCACCCATGCTCCCGTGACCGGAGCCGGTGGGTGACTCACTTCCCCTGGTGGCAGACCCCCCTGTGGCCTGGGTGCCCCGGGCCCCGGCTCAGGGGCGGGCGCTATCAGTCTGCACACCCGTTCTTCAGTTTTTGAGAGTTTGTGGTGGGTGGCCCATGGGGCCCACCCAGCCGTTGACATCTGACAGGGGAAGATGAGTCCCTGGCACCAACACATTGCTCGGATAAAAGAGTTATCGCTTGCATGTGTGGTGCCGTTTGGTTAGCTTACATACACATTTTGATGTTTTTCTCCTGGGGACTTGAGCAAATGGAGGAAACCCGAGCTGAAGGTGTGCCATTGTCGAGGCTCGGTGCCCGCTGACCTTTTTGCGAGAGGTGTTAGTGGACATGAAAGGGGAACTTCCCAAGTTTGGTGGCGGGGGAAAAAAACAGAGAAGTTAGAAAGGAACAGTGCCAACCGTGATTCGGCTTTGGGGGTTTTACGAACAGCTGACCTGGCAAAATGAGTTTTGAGTTCGTACACCGATTTTGGGCAGACACTTTTTGGTACACGTTTTGATTGAGAGGAACCCACTCGTCCCATAATCCCTGGCTGATTTTGTGTCTATAGAGGGTAGGCGTCCTTTCTCGGTGTTGTTCACCTGCGAGACTTAAACCAAGAAGTGTAATTGTTGTCTTTGTGTCTTTTGGGGTTCCCTTTAGCATTCAACCAGCAAAACATGCTGTTCCATAGAAATGCGCGAGAGATGTTTGGTTTAGGGACCCGACTCCCCCCCAAGACAAAAACACGACAAGGAAGAAAACACAAAGGGAGAAACACAAAGCAAAACAACCACCACAAAAAAGCGGTGAATTCGTTTCAAAGACCAACCAACCGGGATTTGCTCCGGTTTCAAAACAGAATCCCCGGAGGGTCTGGGAGGCTTCTCTGGATCGCTCCTTCGGCCGCGCTGAAAAGCCGAGCGAGGCAGCGGCAGCAGAAGCAGCGGGCACTGCTGCAGTCGCTGCTGTCGGCCTGGCTGCAGAGCAGCTGGGAAGGCCTGGTTTACTGCCATTTGCGTATAAGAAATATGTGTGATATGTCCCCTGTTGGTTGTAAATCCCAATGAAATTGTTAACCTGGGATTTTGTCTAGGTCCCCCAGTAGGACGCCTTTCCATCCGCCCACCTTCAACCGTACCACCAGACCCCTGGAACAGACCCCAGGATAAGACAAGGGTAAAGTAGGGTAGATAAGCTCTACTCGGTCCCCCAGCTAGGTGCCCTTTTGAGCGTTTCTTTTCTTGATTGCTATTGGGTTGGTCTTTGACTTTAACTTTTTGGGAAATCAAGGTGTTTCCACGAAACCCCAAAAAAGTTAAACTTTTGCAGGGGGGTCAAGAGCAACCAAGTTGTTTGGCGGTTTTTTTCTTTTCCTGTTGGTTTAGTGGTTTTTCCGTTTCACCCACAAGTGAACCTTTCAGGGGATCAGACAACGAACAGCAAGGTGTTTAGGTCCCCCAGTAGTGCCCTTTCTCATCCTTTCTGGTTGGGAGGGAAACCCCCTACGTAAATAGACTACAGAAAAAGTTGGTACCAACTTATTCTAACCTCTCCACTGGAAGACCTAGACACGGAGTCGTCTTTTTTATTTTTATTAGGGGGCCCAGAAATTGGTGGTTTTCCTTCTGGTCTCCTTTCGTGAAAGCCATAAGAAAGACAGAAAGGGGTACCCTGATACCCTCAAAGAAAGCCACACACACACACACAAAAATCAAGCCATGTGTTGGTTGAATGATCAGGGTGTGGCTCAAAATTAACCGATCGGAGGGGCAAAGCGAAAAGGTTTTGGGTTACCCATGTTTCCACTTACCGATCGGGCCACCCATTTTGGAATTCCGGATTTTTGGTTGCCACAGCCATCAGGATTCACTGGCTTGTTTTAGGCCATGGCATAAAAAACGCTCAATTTTTGAGCTCGGGGATCCAAAGGCGCCCAGCACTTTGCGCCTGAGGGGACACCAGGGGTGTTTAAACAAGTAGATCGTGAGCCCTGCGGCCGGGGAAGCAGCATAAAAACAACTCGGTCCCCCCAGTAGTATCTTCCTTTGACCGTTTCTTTTTTGGTTGGGAGGGTTTTCGTCTAAAATAAACTACTGGAAAAAGGTTACCCTTATTCCAACCTCGCCACTGGAGGAAATAGAAAAGCAAGGAAATCCAGCCGAATTTCTGTTTTTCAGAAGCCATGCTTCGAAGACCCATTGGCGGAGCAACCGCCAGTGGCTGTGCCAAAAAAAGAGAGCGAGACCCGCCACACAATGGGAACAGAAACTCTACTAGAGGCCAGCGTGGTTGAACAACCTCCCTTTGGGAACCAAGGTCTAAACAACCCCCGTCTGGGAACCTGGCTTTAAATTTCGAAACAACCTCCTGACCTTGAAGAAACCCAGACTCAACTTGAGTCTTCAAAGCTCAACATGGGCTTCTTCGGCAAACTTCCACCAGGGCGTATCTTTGTTTGGGACCCCCTAATATGGCTGTCCTTTTGGTGTTCCTTCTGAAAACCACCACACAAATATGGGTGGGTGGCGGGGGGGGGTACCAACTTCTACGAAAAAAGGCGAGCCACGCCGGCTACAAGCAAAACACAATTCCGGTCGCCAGGTTTCTTTTCTGAATGACGCCCAGCGGAAAAAATCCGTCGCCGGGCTTCTGGCGTGAAAAAACCACTTCCGCGGCGGAGATCGATCGCGGCTGGGAGGCCACAGCCAGCGCCGGGTGGCCGCCAGCTGCCAGAACGCCCGGGAGGCCGCGGGCGCCGGGCTCCTCGAACGCTCGAACGACGCGTGCAGCGGGGGGTTGGAGGTGGAGGTGAGGTGACCGGGTGTGCGGTGAGCCAATGGGATTTACCTTCCATCTGTTGTTTGTAAGAACTATGTGTGATGGCTTCTCCTGTTGGTTGTAAAGAGAATCTATCCCACTGGGATTCGTTTTCGGGGATTTTGATCAAGAAGCAGATGAGGTTTTATCCAATTTCTGTACAGAATGACAGAAAGAGATATGGGTAGCTTAGATTACAATAATGTTAGAACTTAGTCACCCTTTTGTCCACGTTGAACCATGGAACCTGACGACTAAGGATTGCTGAACCATTTTCCTTTGCAAATCAATTAGTACTTCCCAGGCGTTCAGGCAGAGAACCAATGCTTCGTGAATCTTGTTTTGAACACTTTGCGTTGGGTTTGTATTCCTGGACGTAGGCGTCCTTCTTGGTTGGTTTGCTTAAAGAATAGAGGGCCCTGGTTTAGATAGGGTTTATTCCATTTACCAGGGCCATCCATTTTTCCAAAAGGCCACCTATGTTTCTGGATGCTCATGGACTCCGGCTGAATAGTTGATTACTCTGACCAAGTTTCAAGAGATAGCAAAACAAATACCCATAGCTGAATTACGAGGCGCGGGAGATTAGTTGTTCAGCGCATCAGTCTTGAGTCTTGAGTGAAAACACAACTTCACAACTCACAAGATCGTGTTTGTTTTTTTGTTGGTGCGAGTGTGTGTGTGTGTGTCTGTGTGACGTCTACCTGGGGCCTTGAACGACTGTTTCAAAGCAGGTGCGGGCCGAAAAACCACTTCTGAGGCAAACGACCGGAACCGGTTCGAAATCCCTAGCCTACGCGGCCTTGACTTGCCAGGCCTGTGTACTTTCCATTTTTCCAGTTGGCTGAACCAGAAATGGCCGTGAGCATTCATGTGCACAATCTAGAATCGAGAAGCCACTGCTAAGTACAGTTATGACACTTCAGATCAGAGCATAATGAGTGTAGCTGCATGCATGTGTTCTTCACAGCCTTTGCCCAGTGCGCCTGGCTTGCTTTACAGACCTGTCCCTTTCCCCATGGAACCAAGCAGCAAAACAAGAAACGACGCAGACGCAAATTTCTGTCCACTCATGGTGTTAGCCTTGGTTTAGAACCTTCCTCATTATAAGAAAGGGCACCCTAAAAAAAGGCTTGCTTTTGGGTGGCCGGCGGTTTTTCGGCCCGTTTTCGGCCCGTTGTCTTCCGTTTTCGGCTCGCTTTCGGCCCGAAAACCCGTTTTCGGGCCGAAACTGGCGATGGACAAAACCAGGAAACATCCAGAACCAGGCGTGCAACAACCAGAACCGTGCGTGCAACAACCAGAACCGTCCGTGCAAACAACTGTTTCTGAATTGATGGGTTTTCGGTTGCTTTTGGATGGGGCCATTGGGGCGACCACTCCTTTTTACCAGCAGAAGCCTCCTTTGTAAAGATTGGAAAGGGTTGTTTGGGAAACCACCTGAAAGACACCCATTGGGTGCGTGAGGGAAGAGTGATTTGACCCACTGCCAAAGCCGCTCAACTATAGTGACTCGCCAGGGCTTTGGGGTGATAAACAATGTTCGTCGACCCCACATGCTGCTGATGCTGGCGGTACACCTATGTGGCTCTGCCCGCGGAACCGAAGGGTCTTGAAAGTCGCGCAGCCCCCTTCTCCACGCCTTTCCTTTTGCATGAAAGCCTAGAAGAGAAAACAAAGGGATCAGTGCATTTCAGACTGCTGCGGCACGCTTGAGACCCTGCGGGTTGGCCGGGCAGGGTTGGTGCCAGTCTTGCAGAGACGCAAGTCAATCGAGGCTGAAAAGGATATGCCCAACACGAAATACAGAAAATGGTGATCAGGCCAAACGGCCGGAACTGCAGCAAACGACCGGAACTGATGATGGATGTTCTTACGACTGTTTAGAAACGGATGTTTCGGGCTCCAGGTAAGGAATGCCGGGCTTGACACAGCCAACCTTCATGCACGACCTGTTTGGTGTATCGTGGCGTCACTGCTTGTGATTGCCTTAGACCTGTCTCCCATGCTGCTTGAGTCGAGCTCTGCTGGACTCGCAGCAACCTGATGCGGAGATGCTGACTGGTTCACTGGCCTTCCATGCGGTCAGAATGTATGGTTCACGACACCGCTCCAAGCTCAAGCGTGAGGAGTGGCTCTCTTTGGAGGCGCCCACCATGTCTTGATCGAAGCTTCCCTGAGCATCGGCTATTGATTCTAATCAATATTTTTCTGGTGTTATTGAAGGAGACTTTTTTTCAATAATTTGTAGTTGATTTTAACAGACGTCCACTCAATAAGAGATTCAATAGTCTGATCAATAGCAAAACATCACCTTTTCGAAGGACAAATCAATTGGGGAATCAATAGAAAACCATGATGCACTGAAAGCTGAAGCTCTTGTTTTTTCTCAGCGCAATGCTAATGTAATTTTATCAAACGGGGTGAGACTGGCCACCTTTGACCAAGAGCTTGCAGCTTTATCAATTCTCCTTTTCTCAAGGAGCTACAAGCGCCCTTTTGCCAAGGGCTAGCACAAGTTGTCTGGCGCTTCGTCAACAAAGCCAAAGCCTGGCCTGGTCAGCTGAAGATGTAGAAGGATCCTATACTTCGCGGCCACTTTTGCACTTAGCCTGACTGCCTTGACTCCAAAGCTGACTGAGTGAGCCAAGGTGCTCAGCTTGCCCACATAATCTTCTGCCCTGTAATTGTGGTGGATCCTGTAATTCAGGAACTGGCTATTTTTAATCAAGTGCATCATGGTATGGAACTTGTGGGTGATATTGAACAACTTCTTGCCTTTTGACAAGGCCCATGAGTTCAAATCTTGGTAGGAATCAAAAACCTTTTGGCAAGGTTGTTGGCCAGGGCAAATTCTTCACTGGTGGGAAACAGGTCGATGCTATCAAAGTGTTGGACTAGCTGGTTGAAGCTGCCCAAGCAATCAATCATTGTCTGGTGGATTGGCTGGTCACCAGGGAGAGCTTCTTTCAGCACCTGCAAGAGGCAAGGCAAAATGTGCTTTGTCTCGGCGGCTTTGGCTTCCAAGCATGGAAACTTCTGGTGAGGCTTTTTCGTGTCACTGAACATGCTGAGCCGTAGGTTTGTCAGTCTTGACTTGCCATCCTTGCAGTATAGCTCCTTAATTCTGGAGAACATCAGCTGAAGCCTTTGGGCTGGAGGAACTGCTTGCCTCCTTGCGCCATCGAAGTAGCACAGAAAATGAAGCAGGGACCCTGCCAAATGAGACCCAACGCCCCTTGAAAACAATATGTGAAGGCTATCACCTCTCACCAAAGCAGTGGAGACCCCTTCTATGGAGAACAGGGGGTGGCTGCTCCTTTTGGCAAGGAGTGCCTGGGCGGGGGTGACCGGGACAAAGGATTGCTCAGCTTCCTTCAGGATCTTGGCTGATTTGCCAGCAGGGCATTTTTTTTTATACACTGGCTTTTGGCAGTCGCACTCATGGCAGGGGTGCTTATTTTGCCAGTGAGGAAGCTTCAGCACGTTAGCGAAGAACTCGGCATCCCCTTGGATGCTCCATATAACTGCCCTGTGGTGCCCTTTTGTCAAGGGAAGGCCGGCTAGCTCTGCAAGCCCTTTTGGCAAGGGGTTTCCCCACGGGTCTTCGCTTGGATGACAGCCTTTTGACAAGGCTTCAAAGGACCAGCGGATCCATTCGTACAAGGGCTCCCAAGTCTTTGGCAACGTGCAAGATTTAGGGAGTGCCGCCAGTAGCAAGTGAGAGGATAGGCTGCTCTGCTTTGATAGCATCGGCCCCCAAGACCAAGTCATGAGGGAGTCTCTCGTTTGAAACTCCACCCCGTCACCGTGCACAAAGATCGGCACTGTTTGCTTGGGACATACAACCCTTTTGTCAAGGGCTACTGGCCAGGTCAGCCTTTCATCTTTTGTTTTCTCTACTCCCGTCCAGAAGCTTTCGCAGCTGGAGCAAGCAAAGAATTCTTCGAAGTGGTCTCCGTAATGTTGCTCCAGACTCGCAAAGAGAAGGTGTGGCAAAAGCAGAGATGCATCCTGCTCGCAGGGCGTTTGGGTCTTGCTGTCAAAGAAGGTCACTTGGACAGGGGTTGGCTCACATAGCTTCATGCTTGAGCAGTGCAGTGCCACTAGATCTCGGTGCGCGTTGGCCTTGCTGTTTCCCCAATTGCCACACTTGGCAAGACTTACTAGCTCCTGTGACGCGCAGCCATCTAACACAGCCAAATGGCTAAGTTCTGCAACTTGACATGCAGAGAGCTTGCCCTGGGACCATAACTCTAGCAACCTTGTGCAGAGGGCAGAATGATTTTCTGCGTCCTTTTCGCAAGGGCTCCCCTCCAACTTTGCCTGTTCCAGTTTCCACCCCCTAAGCCTTTTGACTTTTCTTTCCGCTTCTTCTTCCATGACCCTTTTGTCAAGGGTTTGACAAAACTTGAGCCCAAATGTAAATGGATGGACAACTTGGTTAAGCTTGCCTTGCCTTCACCTAACCCTTTCAAAAGAAACCCTCAAAGAGCCCCTCAAGCCCTCCCAAGCTCAAGCAAAACCCTCCGAAACCCAAGCCAGCCCCGCAAGGCAAGCCGTTTTTGCACGCCTTTTCTACGCCAATGGTGAGCAGCACACCCCTTGCCAAAAGGGGCAAGTGACAACCCAACCCTTTTATACAGCCAAGCACTACCCTTTTGTCAAGGGATGTTTCGCCCTTTTAGCAAGGGATTTCAGGAATTCCTTTTGTCAAGGAATAATAGCATCAACACGCAACCCTTTTGGCAAGGGCTTGTGGCAAAATCTTCAACTTATCCTTTTGACAAGGACTTTTCAGGATTTGCTTGCCCGGGATGTAGCCTTGTTGGCCAACTGGAGGAAGTCTTTGGCCTCTTCCTTTACCTCCTTAATCTTTTTGGCTGAACTTAGCAGCAAAGCTTTGACCTTGTCCAGGCTCATGGAGT